ACCAGAAAGAAAATCGAGGAATATCAGGCATTATGAGTCAGATTTTACACCTCAATTAACTTAATGGAGCTTCTTTACTACGGAAGTGACTGTAAAACAAAATATCTAGAATTGTCTGAATATTGGCCCATCAACTTCGTATTGTGTGTTTGAGCTATTGGTGGCTCTCCAAATCCTTCTCCATGTCTACTACCTGAGTGTTTTAACCAGAGATTCCAGGGAGTCATTTGATATGAAAGCATTAGCAGCATCAGCTCCACCTTTCATTTTGAACAGTTACTCAACATTAGATTAGATTAGTCAATCTGATTAGCACCAATGATGTTACCTAGTTTGGATAATGAAACATCTGCAAGAAAACAACCAAGCTCAAAGAGCACCAAGGACCCCTCATTTCAACCCTGAGCTACAAATATTCTCCTTTATTGGGAGTTAGTCAACAGCCTATGATCATTTGGGCTCATTCAGGTGTACATTGGGTATCTTTGAAGTTTTGGATTTGTCTTCTGCTCAAATGTTGCAGGACCCTCAATACAAGATCTTTATTAAGCAGCTACTTACAATGGCTACCCGGACTTCCTTGAAAATGACCTTCATGGAAGACACAGTATCACTCAGACTGAGACACTTTCACATTTAGCACTGATCTAAAAGCAGCTCAGCAGCTGTGGGCAGGGTTCAATTAATTTCTGGCTCAGATTCCATGCAACCAAAATCATATAAAGGGCAATATTTCCATCTGGAGTGTTGAAGTTCTAGAGAACTTGTAAGAGTCTGTTTTCCCATTGGTTGGAACTTGTTTCAACCCATCTTCAAGTTTCTTCAACTTTCAAATGACCGTCCCTTCTTTTCATATAGGTGGGAACTTTCAAATGCAACGAAGGGGTGGGGCCTTGGAGGCAATTCTGTGTCTCCCCCATTTGATAACTCTTATCTTTTTTTGGAATGAGGCAGTGGGGAACATAACAGGCTAATGCCAAAAAATGCATTCTAAACAACGTTAAGGGGGGCAGAGTTTTGCCAATCTCTGTGTCTTCACAGTAATTCATGCCTAATCTTCTTCCAGTTGGGTTATTGTAACGTGCTCTGAGTAGAACTGCCCTTCAAGAACACCCAAGAACTACAGAATACAATGGCTTGGGCAGTAAAAGACTATGAAAACTGAAGAAATACATCAATAATGTTAAAAATAATGGAAAGGAATGAAAGAAAAGGGGACTCTCTGGGAAGAAAATACCTCAGTTTAACCTTGTGTCCTCTAACTTCATTGGATTAAGATGACCAGGACATTTAGCATGCCAGTGCTGTGTTTGCTAATCTCTAATGTAATCTCTAAACAGTGGTTTGAAGCCAGGCCAAAATCATCTTTAGTTTGTTAACCTTGAGATTCTGGAAATTCTATAGTGCCTGGACTTTTAGAGGAGGGAAAGATAAAGTTGCTGGAAGATAAAATGAAACGAGAGTTTGCCTCCAAAAACTCTGCAGAGCTGGAGTGCCAGTTTTGTGGCAATTTAAAATAAATAATAAAACAGAGAAAAAACCAACTCAGTTCTCAGAAAAAGTGAATATTGTGAGATTAGTAGCTCAAAAAATCCTATTTGGAAGTCCCCTAAAATTAATTGCTGTATGACATCTTATTTGCCATTATGCTAGACAGAGCACATGAAACTGTTAGGATGGAGAAAAATGATAATAGAAAAGCATATACATAACACATATGAAACCTGGCTTTGGTCCCAGGCCTGGGTTAATGTATTGGGGGGATGAGGTAGGGGTAGAAATGGTTTAGGCCTAGTTTTTTAATGGTTGTTTTTAATCTAGGCTGTCTGGTTTTGTTTATTTTTCTTTGTTTTAATTTAATGCTATATTTGATAAGTGGCCCAGAGTTCACTGGACTGAGTGGCTATGTTAAATCTAATAGATAATCATAATAATCAATGGAAAATTATTACATATCCATAAGAATTAGTTGAGAAATTGATTAAGAAATGTTTATGATTACTAGAATCGATGCTTATATCCCAGGTAATAATATGAGGAAATTCATTCTATGAAAACAATGAATATAAGGCCTATGATGCTGAACAAAGAAGTAAAACATATTTATTTGCTTGAAAGCCTTGAAAAGCTGAAACAAAGAGACAGCACTGTGCATGTTGTATAACTTACCTAAGATTTTGCCTTGGGAAATTCTGTGAAACAAGACAAATATGCATAGAACGTGCCTAGAAAGCAGACAGCTCATCTGTCCAAGAGATCTGGAATCAACCAGATCGATGTTTCTTAACCTTGGCAGCTTTAAAATGAGTGGATTTCAACTCTGAGAATTCTCCAGTCAGCAAGCTAGCTTGGGAATTCTGGGAGTTTATGTCCATCCATCTTAAAGCTGCCAAGGTTGAGAAACACTGCATCAGATACATGCCCTTTAAAACCCATCACCTCCGCTAGCTTTCCCATTGATTGAGAATAATGTAAGCTATCATTTAATGCATCCCAAAGACATTAGTTTTGGGTAGACTAATAGACTCATGAATAAATATTGGCCTAGTAAATGAATCATGAATAATATTCTAAATGAACCTAAATGGTTGGTGATATAAAAGCATGTCTACCATAGAAGCGATATAGTTGTTTAGTTGGTTTCATGAGATGCCCAGAATGTACATGACTCTTTATATCGGTGAAAATGAATGAACTCTCAAGCTCAGTGCATTTCCTTTAACTTGACAGGACTTTTTCAGGCAGAAATCAACCCTGACCCAACTGCCTGAAGTGTATGAAGTTGAGATGGCAGGGATTAAATCAGGGGCATTCTACATATAAAGTCTGCTAAAGTCTTTGGAAATCTAAAATTTATGAGATGAGCAGTCCAAATAAAGATGCTCCAAACTACAATAGCTGCAGCTGAAAAGTATCAGAAAATCAGATAATGCAGAGATGTTATCAGCCTGAGGGTCTAAATGTCAAAAGGTAAAATGGAGGGACAATACCAGTATACCAAATTTCAAAGTGTCTATTTTATCATTTCAATTGTTCTCGCCTCTTTAAATCCAGGAATAAAATTACTTATCCACATGACTGGGTACATTACTGTGACACTCCGTTTCATTTTATGTCATGCATGTTCTCACAAGGATAATCCTCGACATAACATACAGGTCTATAAGATACCCCAAAGAGTCAAGCACGTAGCAGAACTATCAATTGGAAGATAAGAATAGTAAGGGTCTCACTATCACCACATAGCAAGACACCTCAATTTTATCCTTGGCTGCCAACGGTAAATTTTGCTGCCAACTGAAATTTGAATCATTAATACACATGGGAAGCAGGCAATCCATGCATAAGGAATGAGAAGCACAAAACTGAAGCATTGTGCAAGAACAAAACTAGTCCATTCCTATTGGAATGAAGAGTGCATTTCTCCTTTCAGTGTATAGACATGGACTGTACAGGTGAATGAATTTCTGTTGAATACTGGAAACAGGAAAGCCTTATCCGCTGCATCTGAAGGCAGCTGATTAATAGAGAAGGTGCAGAATAAATGGCACAGCATGTCCCCCAAGATCTTGCCACTGTACCCCAACCTCGAGCACCTGCCACTTGAAACTGTTCTTGCAACAAGTGGTAGGATTTCCCCTAAATCAAAAGTGAGCAGTAAGCTAATCATTTTAACTGAGACAGGCTCATAGGGATTAATCTTTTAAGCAGGGGCTAGAAGAGATTGTTTTTGTTTCTTTGAGGCAACAAATGATACAATCCTGCAGATATCCCCTTTTCAGCCCAAAGGCCTATAAAAAAGTACAAAGTGCAGACTAATATGGATATTCATCCCATACTATCTCAAACAGATTCTCTTCCAACCCTTAAAATAAGCTTACAGTACTAGATTGTTATATATATATATATTTAAAAAATAGGGTACCTTTAGAAAGAATTGTATCTAAAAGTAGTCAGATGTTCAAGCATTTTGTAAGTAAGATGCTGTCTACCTTCATATGTACAGTCAGGGAGTTAATATGTTATCTCCGCTGCAAGCTTCAAAAAGTTTCCTTATACATTTTCTAACTTTTTTTAAAAAGTCCAGCATAGTGATAAGAAGCCAAGTCTGTCCCTGAACTGCCCAAAGTACAAATCCTGTCTCTGGGACAGAGCAAGTTACATGGTTCCAATAAAAGAGAATATCGGTAATTCGGGGTTGTACTTGGGAATCAGGGAGTCTTTGGTGCTCTCTGAGCTTGGCTGTTTGCTTGCAGACCTTTCATTACCTGACTAGGTAACATCATCAGGGCAAGCAAGCAGCCAAAGCTCCGAGAATTGCCTAACATTGGGCAATACCTGACCAAACTGAGTAACAATCATTTAGAGCCCTGGTGGCGCAGCAGACCAAAGCACTGTTATTAACATCAGCTGCCTGCAATTACTGCAAGTTCAAATCTCACCAGGCTCAAGGTTGACTCAGCCTTCCATCCTTTCTAAGGTAGGTAAAATGAGGACCCGGATTGTGGGGGCAATAAACTGACTTTGTATAAATATACAAAAGTATGAAGGCTATTGCTTAACGCATTGTAAACCGCTCTGAGTCTCCGGAGAAGGGCGGCATATAAATCAATTTTTTAAAAAAAGTCTGCCTTCTTAAAACTCCGCAAGTTTTGCATAGGAAAGCATCCGCTTAAGGCAGAGTTTTTTTTTTTTTTTTAAAAGGCGAACCCGAGCATCGCGCAAGAATGAGCAGGCTACCTGCACGCTTACCACCCAAGATCCCGAAGTTTCAAATCTAACTCCCCACCCCTCCCTCTCTCTTAATGTGTCTTCCCTCCCCCCCCCCCCCTTTTTTTTTTGCTCCCTTTTTACAGAATGAGATTTCGATACACTTGAAACCTTTGCCTCGCCGGCAGAACCTGGCTCCGGGCTGCCCCTCCAACTCGAGAGGGGAAAGGATTGCTTTCTACAACCGCCAGAGAGACGCCCGAATTGGCTTTGCTCTGCGTTTACTGTACCTGGTGAAACAGCGCCGGAGGTTTAAAGGCTGCAGCTTGCCGCGCTCCGCTCCGCGGGTTTCAAACCCTGTCGGCGCATCCTTGCTTGGGCTCTTCCTTTCCAAGCCAGGGAGGGAGAGCGGGGGGGGGGAGAGAGAGAGAGGCAGACTTGATGCCCAAAATAAAACCTGCCCCCGCAAGCTCTTTATCCAAGGAACTTTCTCCCTTCTCACAGGCTGGAAGAAAGAGGCTGGCGGAGGGATCGACCCCTCTGAGGCAGCGGAAGGCTTCCCAGCAAGGGCAAGTTGCCAAATCGGGTGTGTGTTGTGGGGGGGGGGGGGGGGGGGGGGGGGGAGGGAAAGGGGTGGACGAGCAAGGCACCAAGGAAGACAGGCGCAGAATTTTGGAAACGCAGAAGCAACGGAGGGGCGCTTATAGCTGAGAGCCGTAGGCCCCCTACAGGCGGAAAGTGGTAAAACGTCCACGTGCTGACTCTTTCCTTGCGGGGTTAAATCGACTTCAGGGGCTTTTGAATATTCAGCTTCCCGCTCCGCTTCGTGACTTTTGGGCGATTGGTTCAACGCGAAAGCAGCCTGCCGCCTCAGCCTTTCAGATGGGTATGATGAAATCCGTCCTTAAGCCATTTCCATCCCTCAATGCAAAGCGGCTCTTTCCAAGCGAGGATCTTTGAAATTTTCTTCAAAAGGGCGGCAGTTCCGTAATAGATCTCTCAACTTGCAACTTGCAAACATTTAACCGCGTGCCCGGGTGTTTTTTAGATCCGTCCAATGCCAGGTGTATAATCTGTCACAAAACACCGCATTGCACTGACTGAATGTGTTGTTATGTATCAATTACACATATTACGTTGTTGGAGGATGCTTTATATCAGATACCAAGCTTCTCTCAGGGTAATCTTTTAATTTCTCTTTTTTAACTTTTTGGCCAAACCGATTCTCACTGTTGCCACTAAGTAAGTGGCAGAGCTAAATCCACTCTTGGCTGCTCTGATGAAGCCAACTGAGTTTGGACTGGGCCTCCCCTTAGTTTTTCTCTGCTTACTGCCCCATTGCCTTCTCTGCCAGCATTACAACTGCACCAATATCTATGCTGTTGGAGTTAGAACAATTCTGGGACCAGGCAGGCTTTAAAATGACATAGGCAAATGATCACCATGCTCTTCACAGTATATATGCGAGAACCTCTGGTTCCTTTGAACTGATTGTCCTTTAAATTTCGCTGCCCTGATGGGATTTTAAATATAGAAACCTAAGCTATATGGTGTTTTATTTTTCACTCTCGCCAAACATGTCCCTCCCATCTTGATCTAGGGCAGCTCCTTCAGCTGCTCCTATACTTGGGCTGACCTTTTCCCACCCCTCTTTCTTTCTTTCCTTGCTCTTTCCCTCCTTACCGTTGTGAGCCTGGTGGCCAATGAGCTTCTCTAGAAGATCAGATGTCACTATAACAGGAGGACTTAATTGCCTGCTGGAGTTGGCAGAGCCTGCAGCCTGATCCATTCGGCAGAAAGCTCCTTGCTTCTCTCAGCTCCCCCTCTCAGGTAAGAAAGAGATTCAAGTGAGACATATATATAGGTAAAGTATAGAGAGAAGAGAAGGAAAAAGCATGTCCAAAGTTGTCTTACTCAGACTAGGGTGGAATGCAAAAATGGAAGGCAGAGGGTCTTGGGCCTACAATAAAAGTAGGTTTCCAGATCCTAGAACCACAGGACTTCTCCTCCTCCTTTGAGAGGGTTTGCTTCAAGCTAGTAACAATAAGCGGTAGCAGCTGTCCATTAAAAAAAAAAAAAAAAGGAAGGCGATCCATCAAATAGGAATCTATCTATATGTGAGAAGTATATGGCTGTGCGACCTGTGGTCAAAAGTGATATGTATTGCATACACAAAACACTCAAAATTTTCCAAAGTTGTCAACTGAAATGCAACCTAAATGGGGGTTTCCTCCCTGCTTGAATTCCCACAGAAAAGGAATTGAGTGGAGAGACCGTGAGGATTGCTTAAATGCCAGTGGGAAGCCCATTGAATAAAGGCATCTCTCAGATTATTGCAGAAATAAATCACTTGAATACGATGGGTAATGTGTACATTTTAAAAAGCTAAAATATATTTCGGTAATGTGTTAGATTATTTCAGCACCATTGGAAAAAAAAAAGGACTGCAGTGACTATTTTTCAGTTGAGGTTATTTCAGTTGTGAACTCGAAAATCAGCTTGTTGAGTCGTCACTGAGTTCGGGCAAGGAAAAAAATTAGAAGTTATCATGCATTGTAGCAATTGAACTTTGTTTGACTTGCACTAAAAATATTGCCCCATGGGGATGATTTAACCCCAGTTAAATACTGTATATTTTAGTTGGACATTCAGTTCTAAGGATTGTTCTCAGATCTTATGAGCAATGTTGAAAATTGCTGATTTTCTTGCAAATTATACATTTTGTGTTGGACTATATGAAAGGGAAAGACAAGGGTATGGCATTGTTTGATTCTGAACTGAAAGCAGCACAAGTGAGTTAGGCCTTTAAATTGTTGTAAGATGCAGGTATCAAAAACATATATCTATCTTAGTTCTTTAAACAGGCTGGACCAATAAAATCTGCCAAAGGATTAACTTTTAACTGTGTAATTGGCTGAAATATAGTTGTCTTCTTGGAAACTGGTGGCAGAGATGAAGTGGTCCATGGTAAATGACAGACTTGGAAATAGTCAGGAATCAGTGGTAAATCTTCTCAATAGTGTATAGAAACATAGAAAACGGATGGCAGAAAAAGACCTACCGTAGTAGTCCATCAAGTCTGCCTTTTGATTTTTTTGTTTGTTTGTTTTTGTTTTCTTTTTAATTAATTTTCAATCATTATGTATTTATTTATTGCCAGATGATATTTTCTGACAATGAGTGAATCACTCAGGTAAAATTCTGTGAATCATCACAACTATTGCATCCGAGTAATGTACCTCTTATTATATAACGGCATGTTCTGTTATGTCTCCATACATGAAAGTACTTCGATGCTTCTAAAAAAGGGAAGATAAAAAGCTGACTATCTGTTACTGAATTCTGCTCCTGATTGGATATGGCTGAGAGATGACCTAGGACTATATAACTAATGTACCTTCTATGTCTTGTATGGCAGCTGTCCCATATTGGAAACCATTTGTGTATGGTAGGGCAGATTGGATCCCTTTCTGCACATCATGGCAGATCTTTTTTGGTTGGGGAACTATGGAGGCAATCACCACACAAAGATTGCCACCATGTGTTAGCTTCCAACATATGCACCAGTTCTTAATCTGATTTGCTGGATTTCTAGGTAACCTTTTATTGGTCAATTACTTTACCCAAGTTTAGATTCATGGAGGTGTACTGGCTCAGATTTTGTAGCATTCTACTTGCATCCCACTCCCACCCCCATTTTCTTATGGTATTTGTTTGGTTTTTTTAAAAATATATATAAATAAATCCCATTAAGAATAATAATACAAATACTTTCTGGGTAATTGTGCTTCACCTTGCCACGTAGAGCATTTCCCTTGTTTTCTCTCTAATAAAATAGGACAGCATCCTTAAAATGCCTCATCCTTAAAATTTTCCTCATTCTGAAATGCCAGAATTCCAACTGAGTATGGCCACCATGTTTCAATTTGAACCTAAGGATAAGCATACTTTTTTTTTCTTAGACTCATAGAGTGGTAGAGTTAGAAGGGACCAGAAGAATTATCTAACTCAACTCCCTGCAATGTACAGGAAATCCAATTTAATAATAGAATTAGTTAATCGATAATAGATAAATAAATAGATAAAAATAGATAAATAATAGAAGGTATTCTTTTTATTCTTATGATATATTCTGGCACTTTTCTAATAACGTAATGTTACCATGAGTTTGCCTGTGTTTGGATTGTTTTGCAGGCAAGGCTTTGCTTCTAAGAAGAGAAAGGTTTACCTGGGTTTATATTGGTATCCATATTTCCAGCTGTTTTAATGCAACATTGTTGGCTATAAAGTTTTGCCTGCTCTCAAAATTCTTTGCAATTACCTATCCATCCATTAGGATTTGTAATAAAATAACCACATCGACATTTGGCATAAAAAAGCATTTATAACTGGCTTTACCAAGGCATATTTTTGTTTAGAGAGCATGCCTTTAATGCCGCATCCAGTCCCTTGAAGAACCTTCTAGAACCTGAATAGAAATGTCATAAGCCTACACAACTATGTGAAAAAGGATCAGAGAAAGTTTGTTTTCTTTTAGAGAGTCTCTTCTTAGTGAACTCGGTTCTTTGGAGACAGATTGGGCCTAAAGATTGAGTATAAGATCTGGACAAATGGGTGGGGTTAAAAATGAATCTCTTAAGCTCCCCTTATTTCTTTTAAAAGCCCCAGCTGCTGGTTTCTTGAATCACATATAGAATGGCATTGCGGCCCAGCTAAAGTGCCAAGAAGAATTTTTGAGGCAGTGAAAAAAAAAATGGAGAGCACACAGCAAACAATACGCTGGAGATTTAATCAAATTGATTAAATATTCTCCCAGGAGAATGGTTTCATCTGCCAAATGGATCCATGAACCAATTTGCTTTTCCCTTCTGATATCCAGCTACGCCTATCAAGTCCGTTGTTTAGCACCAGCAGCTTTCCTTTTCATTCTTCTTCCTATAATCTTCCTGCTTCACCTTGTATGGCCAAGGAGAGAGAGAATGATTGATAGGAGGACAGCTATTTTCATCAATGGTCTCCAAGATGAGAGGGAGTGAATTCAATCTATCAAGGGGAAGATGGGTACATTCTCAGCTGTTAAGGAGCTCCTCAAGAGATGGGGTCTGGATGTTTTCAGCCAAGAATTGGAAGAGATTTCAGCCAAAAGGCACATATAGTTCAGAGCGGGAAGGAGAAATTGGTCGGGGATTTATGTGACAGAATTATGATCCACTTTCCCTGCTGCAGATTGGCTCAGCATCAGGCATTTATTTATAACATTTGCACTTTGGTCAGAGTCTGTCTGATTTATCTGAGTTGAATTTGTCCTTAAAAAAAAGTGAGTTGGTTTGCTAGTGTAAACACATATGATATGCAATTGAGTCAATGATATATTTTTTAGAACTGATTTATAAATGTGTCAGGAGTTCACGTCTCAGGGGTTGAGTGGTTAGGTTACTGTGAACTGATTTGATGATAGCAGAGCTGAAAGAAAAAGGATTGCTTTTAAAAAAAACCTTTTATCTTAGTTTAGCTGGGGGGGATCTGTACATAATACAGATGTACATCTGTAA